ATACACGAAAAAATTTTGCTGCTAGCTTACACAATTCTGATTCCCGATTAGATAAAAAGTTGCCAGTCTTTTTGGCACTCGGGCGAAACCAGTCGCTTAATTAAGAGCCAAAATGTTTAATGGTTGTCCGGAAATTGGGCAGATTGGGCAGCCAAATATTACGAAAAAAAATCATTCTCAAACATTAATGAGTTAGATAAAGAAATGTTCGCTATAAGTTTAAAATTTTTAGAATTAGAACTGTACAAACTGTATCCTACAGTTTCATTATAAACATTTCGGTTAATATGAACTACATACACAACATGCTCATTGACCCTTTTTCATTAGCTCACTGCACTGAGCATTCACTGTTCTTTCGATATTTTTAAAAATTAGATCAAATTCGAATGTGTCAACACTTCATGGGGAATTTCACACGTACTAAGTTTGTGGTAAACAATTTCCTTTCCTTTCGCAACCAAAGTTCAAATCAAACATCCGCAGAGATGAAAGGGGAATGCAACTGCACAACTGCAGGGCTTAAGAACTTTTCACCTGGTCTGTGTCAGGTGACAATTTCAGTCAAACTTTTACGACTCTCGATGGGCGGGTTCTAAAAGAAAAAGAGATGACTATCTTTTGGGCAGAAGGGAGGGAACTGTGTTTTTAAGGTACTTGAAAAATTAATGTACCCGGTCGGTGTTGGCAGCCAAACGCTTGACTTGTCCTCTAAGGTTCGGGAAAAATGCATAGACAAATGTCAAATATTTATTGAAAATAAACAAGACTGGCTAACAAACCAACAACTGACAAACAAGACGATGGACATGGGGTTCTCTTGCCGCGTTGCGTCAACAGATTTCCAAGAAAAGAAATAAATATGGGTGGAGAGGGGGAGCATGGAGTAGAAGGAGCACCAAACTGACCAGAACTGAAGATGTTCGGTCATGCATCAGTGCAGCGCAGCGTTAAAAGCCGGGAAACAGTGGGAACCGAACGGGTTAAGATTGGATGGGTTGGACATGGACATGGACTCACGGTTGGCTAGATGGATGGTTGGATGACTTGGGTGCCAGACGGATGCTGAGTTCTTGTTGGGTCCCGTCAGTGGGTGCTTAAAAAGCTGCTGACCGATGATGGTGAGAAGAACACATGCTCTGTCTGTCCAGTACCAGTACCCAATACCAACCTCTTTCTCTATTCGGCTACCGACTTTTCCTGACGTCTTCAAGAGGCATCCAAGTCCCGTGTTCTTGGATCCATGTTCGAGTTGTGTTTTTTAGAAAAATATTTATCCATGCCAGGTCTGGTCTGGTCTGGTCTGTCCGACGTTCACAATGATGATGTTCATCATCATGGGACAATGTGGTCGATGACTCCGCTGGGTTATGCAAGTAATGCTTGATTTGGTATTGAAGACTGGTAGCTGCCACTCAATGGTGTCCGTTGTTGTTTGGATGACTCACAACAACAAGCGCGATGTGTGGGTGATGCAATTAGGGGGAAATTGTGGCCGAGGAGCTATGTATATATTTATGTATGTATGCAGTTTCCCTTTTCGGTGTGACCAAGTTTGGCGAAGTGTACATTTTTCATTGAGCAGAAATGATAATCTTGGAATGATTGTCTCTCAAAATTACATTTCACCGATGTTAAATATAAAATCGATGCACCTTTATTATTATATTTCATTATTTAAAAAACTGTGGTTTGTGGAAACATTGATAAAAAGAGAAATTTGTAAATATCGAATATATTATATGTATGTAACATATATCGATTTTAACCCACCTCTAACTGTCATTTTCTGTAAGAAAGCTTAGTCAATCAACAACCTAAGGCTGCGTTTTCAGGTTTATAAGTACTTTTTACTATTTAAAGACAATCTTGGGTAATTATAAATTCTTATAGACAGTGAAAGGACAAGGTAAGTAAATCATTTTCAGGTGTATTCTTTACTGAACTATTTTCTGTTTAAAAGCATTTCACTGTTCTGCATTTCCATCGCATCGACGTGGCGCACATGGTAGAGAAATATTTTCACTATTTTTGGACAGGCCTCTGGGGATTTGGCTATCTTTGCCCCATGGGGTCTACCCAGTCCCAGTCCCAGTGCCTGCCATTCTTGTTTTCCTTCTGGCCAATTATGCACACAAACAGACAGCTGGAGGCAAAAATTACAGAGGAACTGGCATCTCCATCTCCTCTTTTTCCAGCTGCTTATTAAGTCGTTGCAATTGCAATGCAACTTCAAAGATGGCAATGGAAATTAACCAATTGCTGGAGTAGACAAGATGGCTGTTAAGGTAATCTCCAGTTAGTTGGCAATTGGAGTTCTTCCTGTCAGAGGGAAATTCTCCTGTCCAATCAATTCTGCCCACTGTTTTGCATATCCAAATTGGGTTAAACTTGCATATAAATAATGATTTTAGGTAATGGGAGAAGTGCATATAAAAATGTTACAAAGAGTAAAAAAAAAAACGAAAAGCAAACTTGATTTTGACAGCTCGATAACGAAAGAAAATGGAGGTTGGTGAGAAATAACATTATGGTCAGAAAAGTAATCAAAATGTGGATAACTTTTATATTAATAACTTTCTGCGGTCCTTTCGGTAAACGGCTTAATTATAAATAAGGCGACAATGAAAAGGAGTTGAGAACGAAAATTATGGGTATGAAAGATGATGTATGTATAAAATGAAAAAGGGTGGAGAAGCTCTTAAAAAAAATGAAACTTTCTTAAAAGAGAGCCCCTTATGTTGTAAGGAATATTACCAGGAATTTTAACAAGTTTGATGAGCAAATTGAGGATTGAGTCAAAACTAAACTAAAGAGCTAAAATACAAATTTTGTTGGATGACTAAAACACGATTGTCCTATAAACTCATTTTAAACACATTTCCCGTTCATGTCAGCCAATTAATTTTACAAAATCCATATAAACTTGGCTTTATTCACAACTAAATAAGTCCGAAAAACTAATTCCACCATCATCAATAATTGACACCAGACATGCCAGCCAATAATAATCTGAAATATAGTTGTGAGAGTATCACTTTCACTTCGGAAAAACTGAGGAAACCAGGCCTTGCCTAAAAAATTGATTTAAAGCGATCCAAACAAATGTCTTTGAAGTCAAAGCGAAAAAGAGCAACAAGAAACATTGCTCTGGGCAAAGTTCAGGCACAAAGTGTTAAAAGCGTGAAAGAAAAACTTATCGACAGCTGTCAAAATCGCCCAACTCAAGAGGAAACCGGCAAATGGCATTTAAATGTTTTTGACAAATGACAAATTTGCGGTAGCCAAAAGCGGGAAAAAAAGAAAAACGTTAAATAACTCGAGACTTGGGGCCGGAATTGGCCTTTTCAACGGCTATTCGGAGTTATGACTGGGACTCCCTCCCAACCTCCACTCAAATATATTCACGTTTTCCACTGCTGACAGCTTAAGTGAGAAAACTATTGCTGATTAAATGTCTTGACAAATTGAACGGCAAAAAAAAACTAAAAATATTTATACTCTATTAAAAAGTCTTTTGAAAGCTTAGATTGGCATGAAGGTAAAGATTTTTATTTAAAAAGATATTTTTAGAGATTCATAAAAGAGAATTTCAAAACCTAACCTTCTTATATTTATCTAGTGTCTACTTAGTTTTAAAAGGTTTAAGTCTAATTCATTGCTTTTTTATCCTTCACTTAACCCATTCAAAACTTCAGATTCAAGTTTCTAGGTCAAAACTTTTCTCATTCGCCCCGAAAACTTTGCTGTTGATCCTTCCCTATAACTTATATGCCATTTTCCTGCAATTACGTCAACATTTTTGTCTTGTTCGCAAAAGTTTTGTGTTGACAATTGCCAAAAAAAAGCTGGGCAGCAAAAGGAAACAACTGCAAACAGCAGCAGACTGCAATTTGGAGCTACCATAACATGCAAATGGCATACCAGGTCAACATCTGGGCTCCAAACTACAAACTACAACAGAAACTGCAGGCTGCTGTTTGTTGGTCAGCGATAAAGTTTATCTCGAAAGTTGGTCCAGCTTTTGGTTATCTGCGTGAGTTACCCGTGAGATACTTGTACATTTTTCATGCAATCCAAGCCCAGCCAAGTCAAGCAATCAATATTGCCCGTGGCACAAAGTTCACAGCAGTCCAGAGCAGCTGCCCCGAAGTAGGTGATTTATTGGCAATGTTGTCTTGAGGGCTTGTTCTCGACTTGTTCGGTTTGAGCAATTTAATTGATTGGCCTGGGAAAAACTGTCAGAATTTGAATAATAGAGCTGATGTCCGGGCATTGATTGAAAGTAAAGCGCTTTTGATTTGTTTCGAACTTAAGTAAAGCGTCTTATTAATCGATTTTTGATTTATCTCTCATTTTCAGTTGAATTCAAAGCAAGTTTAAGTACGAATATTTAAGTGGCTTTCTGTTCAAGACAGTTAAGGACTTAAGGCTTAAGGAATAATTCTTAAGAAATATTTCGTTACTATTTAACCATTAAATTTAAAGATTTTAAGTAGCCAACGAAATTTAGGAGAAGGAGCAAAATGGCCAGCGTCGGCAACAATTCCCTATTGAAGGAAGTTATATTGAAGTCGTACCGAACCCAGCCGAAGGTCGACGTTGGCAGCATGTTGGCTAACTTTGAAGAAACTCTGCGTCTGGCTTCCCCAGAAAATAAATCTCAATTGACCCAAAACACCCAAATCAAAATGAATGCTCTGGAAATGCAAGTGCGAGCCGCCAATGTCGTTCGCGTTGAGGAATCCCTGATTAGGCTAGTTAATGGCATCAAAGAATTTCATGTTATATATAGTTTCTCTGAGGCTGACAAGGATGTTAAATAAAGCAGAGATTTGATAAAGGCCAATCAGATCGAATTTGACGAAAAGATTGCGAATTGGCATCTAACTAGCAAACAAATAAATATTATTCTCAACATTTTTGGAAGAAATTAAAATATAATTAGCATCCCAATGTAAAACTGATATTAATATAGATATCTATCTCACCTCTTTCAGCCCTTCGATTGCTTAAAACTGAAGAGTTTTACTCATCCAGTGGCCTCTATCCACCGCTGTTTAATGTGGTCTCCCGGGCACTGATCTCGGTGAATGCCACATGTGGTCAAAATGGAGCTGAGGAGTACTGCAAACAGGTCGGCGCCAAGCCGTGTGGCATCTGCAATGCCCATTCCTCGGATCGGGCCAAACAGCGTTCCATACAGTCGCTGATCTCGACGGGCCCAGGACTTGAAGAAGGCTGGTGGCAATCACCGACACTGCAGGGTGGCCGTCAGTTCGAGTATGTGACCATCTTATTGGATTTGAAGCAGGTAAGTCAAACAAACATCTTTCCCTGCTGACATCTAACCCATCCAAAAATTGTTGGAGCTAAGCTCTTGTGACAGACGAGCTGTGATCCAGTTTGTAATTAAGCCGCTGAGTTGTCACTCATTTACAAGCGATTTAACGCCAGCTCCATGATCCATCGCTGGATATGCCTTGGTCTGTCTCATTGGAACTTTGAAATATGATCTTCTCGGTGTTCGGACTGGAAGTGAAACCCGTTTGATGCCTATTCAGTTCTAATGCTCAAAATGGCCAAACATAAATTGGTTTTGATGGCGTTTTGATTAAGTCATATTGGCTTACATGTTGATATTTTCGTAGAGACTTTCTCTGATGGAGAAACTGGAAATAGGTTTTCATTTCCGATGTAGATTTTAATAAATTCTCGATTCCAAAATTTATATTTAATCATAACTAAGATAATACAATCAATCTAGGAGGATTGAAGTTACTTAAAAGGCTTTAAAACCTTTAGCTCTGAAAAAGATAAAAGCAAAATAAAATTAATGCAACTTCTTTAGTCTCTTAAAATCACATAAACACTATCCCTTTAATGATTCTAAATACAAATTTAAAACAGTTGCCCAATTAAAATAGCATAGACCTCCCAGAAGGCGTCTGTTACCATATTTTATTTCACACTTGCCGCGGAACTTTAAATCTCGATTGGGTGCTAATCGTCCGTCGATAGTGTTAATTGGAATTTCAAAGTGCATCCGAGCGTAGAATCCCATCAAATCCACACTTCTCCAATCGACCCTATTGGCCAAAAATGTGCTAAAAACGAACAAGAAATAAAAAAGCGGAAAATGTATATCATCTGTTTAGCATCAGCCGACACAAAGTGACATTTCAAGTGCGGCTTACACTCGAATCTTCCAGCAGATATATCAATGTTTTGATATAATTCCTTCACTGCCATATACTTCGTACACCACATGCCATATGCCAAGAGGGACCGGACCATTCCGGCACACAAAGATGCCCTGGCCCGGACCAAGGCAAAGGCATTGAGTGTGCACTTAATTAAAACGAGAAGCAGCCAAAAAGGAGGAGCAATCTCCACAGACTGGAAGTGATTTAAAATTAAAAACATTGTTTTTGCATATGCCTTAAAGTATGAAAGATTTATGACAGCCATGCGTTGCTGCTCTCCAAGTTTATTAATAAATTCCTGCACGTCTCTGCATACAAAAGGGGGAAAAACTTCTATACAGAAAGAAGTATTTAAATTGGTCTCTTCACTTAATTAATTCTGACAATACTTATTTCTAGTTGCCAAGCTAAATCCAAATACATAAATGCCAAACCTTTTATGGCATCTACTTTGCTCTATGTATGTGTCAACTGCTTGGATTTTTGAGGCATGTACTACATTTTTGGTCAGACAACGACCACAAAATTTATAGGTTCCCATGATTTTCCAGCATATATGGACAAGCGGATGCCGAGGAAACCAAGTCAAATGAGGGGCATGTGTCAAAATTTACACGCTCTCATTCCGCCGATTTGCTTGAATGACAAAGAATATTTACAGCTTGTCAGGAATTTTTTAAAATCATTTTCTTTTTTGTGTTGATTTTTTAAAGGTTTAATTTTTTGGGTTGGCTTTTGAAGAAATTTTTATATGGAAAATGTTTCTTTATCTCAAAAGAAAACATACATTTTGAGTGCAAAAAAATATTTTCATCTTGTCAGAAATATTGTAAAAGTCATTGCTTTTTCTGTTGCTGTCTTGGCAATTCTTGAACAAAGGAATTATGAAACTTCAATGTTAGTATAATTTTATTCCCTAATATTTTTCATTACTTACCCAGACTTTTCCCAGGCACTTCTAACAGCTGCTGTCTGTCCCATTCAATAAACATCGACACAATAAATTGCCCCCTAAACAAGTTCACTAATTAGCTATCTCGACAATTAAGTGTGTTGTGTGATTTGGCTGTGAACATATCTTGTGCATTTGTCACAACTATTTAGAAACACATTAGAAAGATCTCCCTCTGTTGGTGTTTTTCCCAATGCCAAGCCAACCGAAACAGAACACGATTTATGACCTCAGACGAAACTTGACATTGACGTTGGTGTGTCTGACTGCCTTGTCTGTCGCCCCATTTCATGGGCGACAAAATCTTTTGGGACTTCCAGGCTTCTTTTTGTTTCTTCCAAAACCCATCGTGGATTTTAACAATTAGACTAATCGAGTGATTTACAACAACAATAGCCACGGAAAACGGATAGGAACGACAGGCGTGTGTCAACGATTTGACAGCTTAAAATATTTCTTTCCACGCTGGGAAAAAGGCGACAGACTCCCGGCAGTCCTCGCTGACTTGGTCAGAAGAATGTCCGTCCATGTGTCTTTTTGTCAGTCAGGCAGTCAGCCATCCAGTCTGTCAGTTTGCCAGTTTGCCAGTAAGCAGTCTTTCAGGCTGTCTGTTCGTACAACAATGTCTAGATTTATGCTTCAATGGGTTTGGGGCGCGCGTGACTAATTGAAAGTCTAGTAAGAATTCTACGAATCAACTTCGCCAGTGGCTGCAAAACTGTAACCGTTGTTGGGAAATGTGAAAGATAATATTCTGAAAAGGAAAGCTATTTATTTTTTAATAAATTAAAATAAAATAGTTTAAGGTATTCCTTGTAGCTTTAAAAAAATCAAAAGTACATTTTCCTTGTTCCTAAACCAATAAAATCTGCCTCGTAAAATCTCAGGTATAAAAATATTTTCAGTATCGGCGGCAAACATCTAACCAGTCTTCCAAATACGACTATTTCCAATTTGAAATGTTTAATGTTTGTTGGTGTATAACTTTTTTTATACAGACATTTAATTGCTTCATTAAATTTAGCCAAATTTGGCCAATGAAAAAATAAGTAAAATGCGAGGGGCCGGTCATTTGGCATCGCTATTGGTTTCGTAACTGTAATTCAAATGTTTGACAAGTTGTTGCAACATTTGCAGCCCCAACAGAAATAACAACAACAAGCAAAGCGTGTTACAAGCCACGAACGAGACGCATTTTAGGCACAGCAATTATTTTAATGGTCAATTTATTTATTTGTTTGGCCTCTGATTTTGGCTTTTTTCGACATTTTCCCTGAATTTGCCTTTTAAAGAATGCTTCCTCAGTTGGTTGCATTTGCATGAATTTCCTGCAAGTTGGGGTTTTTTTTTGGGTTTGGGGTCTTAACGTGATTGAAGCTTCGCTTGAATTGTTTTCATGTCATTTACCAGGAAGCGGATTTTATTTTTAATGGCCAATGGTTCAGGGCGTGCAAAAGTCAGGGATAAAAAAATGTTAACGCTAAAAGAAAGGAAAATTAATGACTCGTATTAAGGAATTTTAAACAGAATTACTAGCATTAATAACTAGCATTAATCTTTTTGTTTATGACTAAAAAATATAAATAATAATTGAGGTGATTCTAAAGTCTAACATACATACGTACAAACATTTGAGGTGCAGCATTATTGAGAACCACATTCCATTAGCATTTAGAGCATTAAGCTTGGCATTTAATATACCTCACACTCTGGCTGCTACTTGTTCGATTCGGATAATACATTTTTATTTCTTAAAGTCCAAAAACAAGTTATTCAAAACTTTGTTCATTCTTTAGCCGCATTAATGCGCCAATTTTGTGAGATAAAAACTTGCAGCAGACAGAAAACTTTGCGATTACTTCGGTTGCAAGCACAGCCAAGCCAAAACACGTCGAAAAGTCTGAGTGAGCGATAGAGAAAAGTAAGAAAATGTGCAAAAATATATCCGAGAAACATACACGTCTGCCATGTGGGTTCATTCACCATGTTATCTAAAAAAAAAAACCGTGCCAAACCGAAAAAATGGACAATAAAAATAGCAGCTTCTGTTTCTTCCAATGTTTTCCACCAAACTGTGTAATTTGCCAAAAAATATAAAAAATATATATGTGCTCTGAGAGATAAAATGCTGTCTAGCACAGAGGCCCAAATAAAAACTAAAGGCAAGCCCTAAATTCGTTGTCTTTTATTTTTGGTTTTCTTTCACTCCGTCTACTTCAATTTTTCGCTTGTTTGTTTTTAAACAAAATTTTACGATGCCATGATTTTGGCCCGTTCTGTGTGTTTTTTGGCAATTAACTGAGTGTCCGTGTTGGTTTTTTGGCTGCTTGAGCGTAGAGGAGGAAGTTTCCTGTCGGCTGGCTATGCCCGATGGATTTTCTTTATTGAGCGATAAATATTTGATTGCCATAAATGTTAATTCGTGTAATTTACGACATGCAATGTTAGGCTCCCTCTTGCCACTCAATTTCCTTTATCAACTCCAATTACCCCCCCAAATTGGTATTCCATATTCCCTCTTACATTCCCACTGAATATTTTAACAATTCTGTTAGTCTCTGCTTGATTTGGCCTTATCAGTTGACAAGAATCTGGTAACAGGTTTCAGTGCATCAACAATAACTCACTCCCTGTGAAGGAGGCGCAGAAGGAGTAGGAGAATCCACTGACCAAATATTTATACTAAGAGTGATCATCATGGGTCCGTTGTAAACAAGTTAGCTGTGTCTGCCGTCAATTGGTTGAAACTGATAAAAACGTCAAAGTGTTACCCTGAGGCCTTCACCTGCCGCTTCTTCGATTGCAATCTACAACGATTTTCACATCTCCACAGGGGAAGGAGCCGATATGGAGGCCACGACCACGTCGAAGCCTTCTTCTCATAGTTCACCTCCTTTAGCGGGGGGAACTCGTTTTTTTGCTCAAGAGGCAGCAGGAAATCAGTTCGGGAGCACGGGTTGATCTGGAGCTGATTGCAATCAAGGTTTACGGACAGAAATTTGATGGGAACAACATAATTCACTAGAGATAACTTATCGCCTTAATTCGTGTGTGTCGAGTTCAGTGGCTGCTTAGTGGGAAATCGGAAGTTCAGGGATAAGAGTTTAAATTTTAAAGCTGGATGAAGTTACTAATTTATTGATTGAAAGTACACAAGTTACAATAAAATATTTTACTTAAGTTACAATTTATTTTCAATTGGTTAACTGTAGACTGTGAAGATTTTAATAAATTTACAACTTGAATTCTTCAAAAAATAATGAATAATTTTCTAAGTATTAAATAAACATGGATTTTTAATTATATTGATCTTTTGAATCGAATTTTTAATAATATATTTATTTAATAGACACTGAATTAAAATGCCATGGTACTACGATTAGGAAAATAAGTTTAATTTAGGTTATTGTTTGATGCGTATTTTTGACTATTTTTCCATCGCTTTACGTGTCAAGCTAATTTTATTAAGTTTTTGAATCCCTTTAGAAAAATTCTTCCAAAATAGGAACCGTAACCACTCCCAGTCTCCCTGTGCGACCAAAAAGGCATTAGCAAAGTTTTTAATAACTTAATTTTCGAACTTACCATGTTACTGAAAATATCTGTCAACTTTTTAGCGCCTTGAAAGGACATGTTTTTTCTATAAATATTGTTTTATTATTTATCAGTAAAGTTGATATCAAATCACCTTAACTATTTGACTGTTTGTCGAAACTGCAGCAGGAAAGTAAATTGCTCACCGTATTTATACGTTTTTAGGTTTCATCAACCACTCCGTAATCTGCCAGTTCTAACAAATCCGTTCCATCTGTTGAATGAGAGACTTCATCTTCTCCATATGTTCCTTTTTCCAATTATATTTCGCTTTTACTTATTTTACTCCTCCAAAACCCTTAAGCCTTAAGTCTAACATGACCAGCAATTAGTGTGAAGTATATCGCCTCCTTGACCAGAAGCTCGTTTACTAAACACGATGCACTTTAACATTAGTAAGAAAAAGAAATTAATCACCACAGAGAGGGTACATGTAAGATTGAACAACGTTTCAAAAGTTATAAAATCTTGAAACCTATTCGATATTGTTAAGCCCGCTGATTTCACTTCCATAACGCCAACTGAAATCCCCTTACAGATTAACTATATGCCGGCCTCTTTCACTTATTTATTTTTTTGTAATCTTATCAGCTTGACAGACGCCGTTGTTGCTGTAATCGAATACAGGCGGCACTCAATAAGGAGAACGCACGCATGCCCAGTGCTCACACCTCTCTCCGCCTGGCATTTGACTTCTTGTATTTTTCGCATTTTATCAGCAATGGAAAATCGGGGAAAATGTATGTTGGCCGGTGCTGATGCCATTAGCTACTTAGTGAGTTGTGGGTAAACAAGTGTCTTTGAAATTTGATATAGTTGTTTTTGAGTAGGTGCTACATGGCAATTGCTCTTGGATATCGGTTTCTGATTTGGCTGTGGATTGGCTTTTCGATCTGCGATGACTAGCTAAAAGTTGAGAAGAGAAAAATTATTAGAAATAATAATATCCACATGTCTGGTTAGATGGCGCCATGTGGCTGCTCTAAGTCAATGCGTCGTAATCAATTATACACCTGGCCACACCTTCGCCACAAGTCGCCCGTCGGAAAATTCAATTGCATGCCTTTTATTGATTTCTCATTTTGGCCTGCCTTGGTTTTTCAGTCTTAAGCTTTTCTGTGTGGCTTTTTTGGCCACTGATCTTCGATAGGCGCAACATTTTCAGCGTCTCGAACACGCGACGTTTTTGGCATTTGGAAGTGGATTCGAATTTTTATTTTTTTCTTCAACAATTTTTCCAAATATCGTTTGTCAGCTGTTTGCTGCCGGCCACGTTGAAAGAGCCACAGTTGGGCGGCGGTTTTTCGGAGGGTTTTGCGGTCGGTTGACAGTTTGGGAAATTTATGACGCGGCGATGGCAATGTTGGGTTAAAAGATTTTGCCAGTACCACACGACATTAACCGAGATATGGATGCAGATTGTTGGTAGTCACAGATGCAAAGATATATATGCTTGCGACTGGATAGAAACATCAGTTGGTGACAGAAACACTGACATTTGGGTGCGTAGATAATTTATTGCTCATTTGCCCATTGGCTATAAAAATCGAAATGCCGAGGTGTGATGGCAAGTTATGTTTATGGTGGGAAAATCTGTCCTTAAGCTTGCTAAAATCTTTATGCAGTTATTAAAAGTTTAACTAAGTTTTTCTATAGAGTTAACAAACACTTATTATTTTTCTATTTCGCAGACGTATCAAATCTTCTCAGTGTGGCTGAAATCAGCCAACTCGCCTCGACCAGCTTCCTGGATTCTCGAAAAGTCTTTAGATGGTATTAACTTTGAGCCATGGCAGTACTTTGGCCTGAGCGATGCAGACTGCCAGAGAAGATGGAATCTTTCTGGTCAAAATGGCAAATACGTTTTCCAGAACGACACCGAAATTATTTGCTCCACTCAGTTTTCAAAGCCGGGTCCTTTGGAAAATGGAGTGCTGCATGCATCGCTCCTAAAGAATCGACCCGGAGCCACGGATCAGAGTGAAGAACTAATGAAGTTCATAACGACTCGTTACATTAGGATTCGGCTGCAGGGCATGCACTCCACTGCAAATTTGGACAATAGCTTGGACTGGCTGCTGGACTCCTCGTCGTTGGAGAAGCATAGTTTCTACTCGCTATCTCAGTTAAAGGTTAGTGCTCGCCTTGATTGTAATGGCCATGCAAATCGCTCCCTGGAATCGCCGGAAGATCCACTCCTGCAGTGCATTTGCCAGCACAATACTTGTGGCAGTCAGTGCGAGCAGTGCTGCCCGCTCTTCCAGGACCGGCCTTATCAATTTGGAGGAGAGTGTGAAATCTGTCAGTGTTATGGGCATGCTGAGAGCTGTTCCTATGACGCCTTCCTGGACAAGGGCATCTGCCTGAACTGTTCGAATCACACGGCTGGCAATGAGTGTGAATTCTGCAGAAGTGGATATTACAGAGAACAAGATGCTTCTCTGACCGAGCCATGTATTCCCTGTTCCTGTGACCCAGCCCGTTCCACAGGAAACTGTCAGCCGGATGGAGGAAGCTGTAATTGCCTTGAGGGCTTTCAGGGCAGAAACTGCGAGGAGTGTGCTCCGGGATACTATGGAGATGAGTGCAAGCGCTGTGAGTGCGATGAAAGAGGAAGTCGTCCCTCCTCTGGATCTTGCTCGGGTGTATGTCACTGCAAGCTCAATGTGGAGGGTAGCACCTGCTCGGAATGTGCACCGGGATACTTTGACCTCAGCGCAGAAAATAGTGAGGGCTGCACCAGTTGCTGGTGCTCGGGTGTCTCTCAAACATGTCACAGTGCCAAGCTCCAGACCCTGGCCTTCGAAACCCTCAATGATTGGAAAGTTGACGGATATACAGAGACTGAAGCCAATTTCAATACCCGTCGATTCCCAGACAAACCGATTGATCTTTGCGGGCGAACTGGATGAAATGGAGGCCATCTACTGGCAGGCTCCGTTGGGCTACTTGGGAAATCGGTTGACCAGCTATGGATCGAGACTACAATTGCTGTTGTCGTGGGATGTGATAAGAGGCGATAGATCGGGAGAGCCCACCACGGGACCCAATGTCATACTATTCGGCAAGAATGGCCTAAAAATTGCATTCGGCGATGAATCCCTAGATGGACTTGCGGCCAGCTTGAATGTATCACTCACAGAGGAGGGCTGGTACCACGTGCCGCCCACTGTAGAGGATATAAAATCAAGGCTTAGGCGAACCGAGGGTGGAAACTATCATGGAGAGCCCGTAACCCGGTCACAATTTCTCTCCGTTCTCGTTTCCCTCGATGCTGTTCTCATTCGAGCAGCTTTCCACACCGATCAGGTGGAATCATCCTTGGCGCGAGCTGTCATCTATTCTGGAGGCGTGGAGTTGGGCGGTAAATCGTCCAACCAAGTGGAGCAATGCCTCTGTCCAGCGGGCTACACGGGTCTCTCCTGCGAGGGCTGCGCCTTTGGCTACAAACGAATCTATGAGAACACCTCTAACCACCAGATTCTGAGCAAGTGCATCCCATGTCCGTGCAATGGACACTCCAATTCCTGTGATCTCCAGAGTGGAAATTGCGGCGACTGCATGCACAATACATTTGGAGATCGGTGAGTGGAAAAGATATACATCTTTAAATTTATAAATTATAAACTTTATCTCTTTTTAATGTCTTTTAAATTTAATTAAAGAAATTCCCAACTTTCTAAAATTCTTTACTCTATCCTAGACACAAACCCAACATAATTTTGTTGAATAACAATAAGGATCCACTATTCAGAGTCCACAACGAGTAAAGTTTTAACCCCATACTTCGATTGGTGTCTCTACTAACTCACCACCATAAGCTATGACACACACTACTTAGCACAGACTCATTTTAAATTTCAAATTTTCTCATTTTCAGTTGCGAGCGTTGCCAGTTGGGTTACTACGGAAATCCCCTCCAGGGAACCCCTAACGACTGCAAGCGGTGTGCTTGTCCCTTGTCCGAGGACTCCAACAACTTCTCGCCCAACTGCCAACTAAAAAGCTACAACTACATGGACTTGAATCCTCAATTTGAGTTGATCGAGCATGCTGAGTATATTTGTACCCAATGCCCAGAGGGATATACTGGTGATCATTGTCAGGTGTGCGATGATGGATATTTCGGTAATCCCCGACAGCTGGGTAGCAAATGTCAACGCTGCGATTGCGCCGGAGGACCCTGCAATGTGACCACTGGAGAATGCATCACCTGTCGGGGAAATACCGAAGGCTGGCACTGTGAACGCTGCAAACTTGGCTACTGGGGTGATCCAGCCGTTGGCTGTGATCCGTGCCTTTGCCATACAGAAGGATCGGAGAGCGGTCTCTGTGATAGCACCGACGGTCAGTGCCTATGTAAACCACGATATGCTGGCCAGAAGTGCGACGAATGCGATGTGGGCTATGCGCATGTGGAGTTGCGCTGTCCGTCCTGCAGTTGTGATCCCCTGGGCTCGCTGGTTCATGACAGATGTGATCCTCGCACAGGACAATGTCATTGCAAGGAAGGAGTGATGGGAGCCAAGTGCCATGAGTGTCAAGATGGTTACTTCGGTATGAATGCCATTGTTGATCAAATGGATGATTTAGCCGCCTTGCCTCAAGTCTCCGATGACGATGACGTCGACTGGGCATTGGTACCAGAAACAGAAGATTCCAACAACGACTCCGCGGTGGCCTGTGAGGGTAAGTACCCTAGATTAGAGCTCAAAGCGTAGCGTCTAAGAACAAAGAAATTCCTCGAAATGAGTTCAATCTCTCTGATAAATCGAGATCACCTATGAGAAACAGATGTGCCAGAGCAGAGGTGGGCGAGTAGTAGTCCATCAATAAATCGGAAAACGTAATTAAATTTGTGTTCTACTTTGTATGGTTAAGTAAGCGTTTCTGATGCTCTACATTGACCTCAATTCAAAGAGCTTAATGCACAAATCAGTCAAGTTCTGGGTGGGATGTGCATCTGTTTCTAGGGGCAATAAAATGCAGAATCATTTGATGGTTTATAAATAGATCTCAGATACTTTTTCTCTTGTAGTGGTTATTAATTACTACTGCATACATTAACCAAATCTAGTTAATTTCTAATTATACTTGCAAGTACTTTGCATTATTCATTTGTTAAATAATCATAATAAACATTAGGCACATTGCTCAATTACCTCGCTTCGTACAAACAAACTCAAACATTAGGCCAGAGAATTACATTTTTACTTGAGGCCATCATCGCTTCAAATTCAACTCATCCATCATACAAAATGCATTACTACATACAGCACTCTATTGTAATGGGATATTTTCGTTATCCAGTTCTCCTTGAAGTTGGTTTTTCTATCTTTTTTAACACCATTTACAAACTGGACAATAGGCAAAAACCCGTCTCGAATAACCTCTTCGTTTGTTATGAAAACCAAAAGCGGCTGCCAAGAAGATGGCTTGCTGTGTTTATTGAGTTGTACTTGAAAAAGAACTCGGATTGCATAACACCCTGAATGTCTATTCTTTTTAGTAAAATGTAAGCGATATTCTTGGTGGGTTTTTTCATCTTGTTTTTCTGTTTTCTAATTGTTAGTCAGTCATCTCTTCGTAGTCTGGGTAAACGGCCTTTTGGCTTGGACTGCCAGTGATGTGTTCATTTATCCGCAGACTTTTTTTCGGACTTTATGGCCTTAAAATTTTGCAGGAGTCTGAGGAGGAGGAGTTCTAGTGCTTTTTGTGGACCAACGGGTTTGAAATTAAATTTCTAAGAACTTCTTTACCACACTTAAAGGTGATTTAGGAGGAAGTTACCTATCATAAGTATTCCAAACGTAAACTAATTATTGAAAGCCATTCCCTTGCTTTGTTTATTGTTTGGCAATTTCTCTTTCTATCTTTAAGTTGAATTATCCAATAGGCTTTAAACTTTTAGGTTTAATGTTAGTTTGGATAAAATCTAACCACATTTGCGTATCGATTTGGCCTGGCACTTGGCAGTTTGCCAAGATAGAAACCTCTCAAGCCACAATCAGCAACAGTAGCACGTGCGTTTGGACTTGAGCTCGCTGGGAATTTATAACCCACGCATAAAATTGCGCAGCTATCTAAGAAATTAAGCAGCAAACTGCGAGATACATTTAGCCGCTGGTCATATTTTGTAATCAGTTCCATTTGCCGCTCACCAAGCAACAGCACCAGCAAGCAGACACACTCTTGTGTTCACCACAGACTCCGGCACAGACAGCATGGAGCCACGTTGGTCTGGTGTCCAGTTTTAAGACCAAACCCAAGCCAAGCCAGGCCAATCCAAGCCAGCCACTTTGGCAATTCAAGCCAAAGCCAAGCGACATATTTTCATGGGGCTGAGACTGTTGTGCATTTGCTGTTGTTGCTTTTGCTGCCGCGCTGCGTTGACATTTTTATGGACATCGGAATGCTCCAACCGCCGGTTGACTCTCAGGCGGACCCCGAAAAAACGGCCACTTTGACTTTGCCCCTTTTATTTTGTTTTTAGCCAACTGATTAGAGAAACAATTTCAAATATTTGTGTTAAATAACTTGACAATTAATTGCATTTCGTGGATGCGGTTGCGTTTGTTGTGGTTTCAATGGGTTTGGTTACTCGCAATTTGGGAATGGGGGATCCAATCCAAATGAAGTTATACGATTTGAGAGTACAATTTGTTGTGGCATTGGCGGTGCCTTCAAAGGAGTTGAATAGGATAATGGAAAAAGCTTCACATCATTAAGAGGAGAGCTCTAAATATTTCTAGGAAAAGTAATGAAATCATCTAGTTAATCTATTTTTAATGCATTTATCCCAAAAGTTAATATTGGCAAATGTGCAAACAATTTAAAACGATTCACTAGCCAACTAGGTCGGACAATTACAAAATTATGCTCGCCAAAAAGGAGAAAAAATAGGTTGAAAGTATCTTTTTCACCAAGATGTTGCAAACAAAAAAAACTGCCATGAAAAAAAGGCATCTTTATTCGACAAGACAAGCCACGACTGACGACGAACTGTCCAAGGTAATCAAGAAGCGTCTAAATGGACAAAATGGAGCAACAACCACTAGTTGCTGTCAACGCATCATCATCATGATTCGAAATGGAGCAAGAGGATCCGATCCTCGGAGGCAATAAATTTCAAATAATTTCCAAGCACGGACAAACAAATGTGACATAAATCGTCTGGCTAACGGTAACGGAAGCATGCAAAGCCAAAACATAGACACTAATGAATGTGGCCAACACAAATGTAATTGTCGAATGACAATTTGTTTACAATTGCCAATGCAAAACCAACATACATAGGAATTTATTACTTTGAGAAACAAGAAATTTAGGTATTTCGACTAGGTGATACCCAATAGTTTTGGTTTTATTTAGGTTACGTGAAGTTTCTAAAGAAAGAACTAAGAAATGATCTGTAATCGTTGTTTTTATATCTTTTTTAATGAGAAACAGGAACTATCGTCATAGTATCTATCCCCTAATCAAACATATCTACTCCTGTGTGTAGCAAACGTCTGATTAAAACTTAAATACCCATTGCAAATGGCATAATAATCACCAAAGAGACTTTCAAACTGTAACCGGGTCATTATCGAAAACACTTTTCGAGGAGAAGGGGAAGCCAGAAGTTTGGCATTTTGATTTTCTAATTTATGGCCCAGACTTTCGCTCCAATCGAAGGCCTGTCTCACCAGTACCCTCCCCCCTGCAGCCCCTCTCCAGATCCCAAATTGTATCTATATCTAAGTTGCCTGGTTGCCATGTTTCGCTATCGCCAGCGTCCATGTCGTCGTCGTCGTCGTCTGCTTCTCCTTTTTGGTCGTGGTGTGATTTTAATTGCTCTTACAAATGTTCTTCGTCGCGCATGCGCCGCAAAACTTTTCGAGTGCAAATCTATGTAGCCCAGCTTCAAGCTGGAATTGGGCAAGACAAAAGCCTGAGATTTATAGCCAGTCTACCAGGCCATATGTTGGAGAGGGAATTTTGTCCTATTTTTGGGGATACAGCATGCAACGTTTTCATTTTAGCCAGCTCGTGTGGGTAGTAGCTTTAGAAAGGTCTTATGTTGTTTAGATTAGATGGTTACTTTTAGTTCAAGCGCATACAGAAGCCTTCACGAGACTTTTTATATATACCTTCTTTATATTTAATAGCCCTCATCAGTAAAAAATATACTTTAATAGGTGGTTTTACTACTAATAAACCACTTCCTCTTCCCAATACTATCAATATTCATGAATTCATATCAGCTGTTTGGTGTCATTTTGTCTGTTAACACTTCGCATCACTTGCTGCCAGTGAAGTAAACAATTGATTTAAATATTATGGCCACTAATCATTCTCAACGGCTATTGCAAAAGCCTCATAATCAGCTTTCGAATGCCACCCAAATGAAAAGCAATAATAAATAATCTTTCAATCTTTGACAAAAAATATTAATTAGAAAATAATATTCTCGAAAATAAATGTGCACTCGCCGAGACTTGAATGAAACCCAAGTCAAGCGCATACAATAATTAATAAATTATTTCCAGTCAATAAACTTTTCAGTCTCTGGGGCATTGCAACATATATTTTCAACATGGGGATTCAGTGAGGGGGAAAATGGAAACCCAGCACCCCGCGGATGAGCAAGCGCCGCACCAAGATACTGGAATCGCTGTAGAAGTCGCTCCATGTCAGTTCATTAGGGTCAGCCAGAGACTGGGAAACTTGGAGTGTGGTGGACTGAGAGTCTCTGTCTTGGCGGTTCATAAAAATTAGTTGGCTATAAAATTAGCCTGGCTGTGGAGGAGGGTATTCAATTCTCGTAAAATCAACACAAATTGAATTGCACTCCATTCATAGAAATCAAATTGCGTTCGCCGTCCCATATATTCATACTTTATTGCTGCCACATTTTGTGAATGAAAATCAAAAGAACCCCAACTCCCTGCCAAAGCAAACTGTTTTTTATTAACACTGGTGTATTAAGGAAGTGAGAAGCAGGTGCGAGCCTTGTATAAATAGAACTCTCTTTGGCCAGGTGAGTTTAGAATTTCGGTGTGACTTTTAGCTGCTCGTAAACAGAAAACTCACTGGGAGATGCAAATGTTCTGCTAGACAGAAATCTTTTTCGTAGGCGGAGAAAAATGAAGTGCCATTGACAACAAAGTGTTGGAGGTGATGGCTCCTGGGAGGCATCACTTTCTCATGGCATAGTTAAAAGAAAGGATTGTGTGGGAAAAACATGTTGGGTCTTTATATTATAAAGATGGTGTGTAATATTCTTACCATTCCAACTCTAAAACTAAAATCTTTAAAATTCATAAATCAGAAGAAAACTTCATATTTTCTATTGTTTATTTCCTGAAGTTTAGATTGAAGTTGAGATACCATCAACCTTAACTTATCCCTGAAACTTGTTAGCACATTTCATGCCCACACGATCATATCTCCTGAGATTCCAGACAGCCGGAGCTTTAGTAAGTTATTCCCCGTACTTTCTGGCAAACTTTCCTTGTCGGATCTACACAATTCGCCATACTTTCTCCAGATCTAGTATATCTTGGTAAAGGAACCTTCTCTAATCTAAATGACAGCTCGTTGGACTCCAGATCTTTGGTGAGTTGCCCGAAGACATGGCAACAAAATATTTTGGTCTTTTTGGTTTGTGGCTTCTAACAGCACATTGATTGATTACAAAACGTGCG